TTCCGCATCACTGAATCGTGAAATAACAATTTCAGTTTCTGACAAAGAGGTGGGAAGAGAGAATGAAATCGGAGTGAATCGCCTCCTGTGAATTGTTCGTTCATTAAGTAAGGCTAAAGCCACACTTGACGTAACCGTTAACGTTACCACACACATAACTGTCAAAAACCGAACCACCACTGGCTGTTTTAATCCGTCGCATGTAAGCCAACCGTTTCATCTTGTAATGAATCAAACGTGTTGGGTGTTACATTACAGGCTATTGGCGTATATGGGTACCTACGCGCCTTTACGTATTGTCCGTAACACGTAATTGTAACCAAACGTAACGTAATGAAATAGTAACCAAACCAGTGCTATAGACAACGCATCAAAGAATTGTTACGTTACGTATGGCGACAAGTTGGAGCAATTATACATGTTTAACGTATCCTTGCTAGTTGTTTTGAACCCAGTTCGTTCAGGTTACGGTATAATTGGTACAGTCAAAACTCAAAGGGAGGCATATTATCTTGCAAGGAGCCGAAAATGGTCTATATTACATTACGAACTATTTCCTTAAATGTGTACGCACGTTTGCATGTCATCTGCAACTGATTTGACACACGTAACCGTGCCGTAACCGTTACCGTTACACGTAACTGTTAAAGTCTAACTGCCCTTTAGGGGTTTTTAGTGGTCGAATCAAAGGACAGTTACGTTACGCATGGCCACAATTTGAGAAGGTGATATAGGTAGCTAATTTATATAGAGTCTTAAAAAAGTACACCAAAGCCCTCTACTTCCATTGCTCGTCCCCCAAACTGAATCTAGTTATCAATGATCTAAATTCACTTCCTGAAATTAGAAATGCCATGGGAACCACCAAATATCCTATAAACTTTTTTCGGGAATCAGTTTTGAGAAGGAAGTTGATATCTAATATTTCCAGACTTTGCGAGACAAGATGGAGTGAGGAACACAAAACCATCAGAGTTTTTAAAGAAAATCTTCCAATAATTCTGGAAGCCTTACAAACATTATCTCAGGAAAGAAACAGCGCAACTCGGAAAAGTGTCTTTCAACTGCATACGGCTACTTCCAGAATTTCTTTCATTCTCGGGATTATGTTGGTAGCCAAATACTCGGCTTTGATGCAACCCCTTGTCAACGAACTCCAATCTGTAGCTTTGGACGTGATCAAAGCCTCGGAACACGTTAAAAGGATTTTACTTTCAATTAAAAACCACCGTGAAAATCCGGAAAAAGTGACAGACGAAATTATAAAGGAAGCTACTGCTATTGCGGAGAAAGTCGTACTGGAGGAGGACATTACATAAATGCCGCGTATTACGGGAAACCAACGTCATAGAAGCAGTCATCCAGCAGAAAGCCCTTCAGAATACTGGAAAAGGTCTTTAGTAAAACCATACTTGGATTCAATTATCACCTTCCTTGAAGTACGTTTTGCTGAAAAAAACATGCCATCATTCGCATTATCTAAGTTATACCCGGCGCAGATGCAAAAGATGACAACTGAAACTCTGAAACCAACTTGTGAATCTATTGCTCGATTTTCTGATTTACCGAACATAAAGAATGAAATCGAACTTTGGCAGCAATTGTGGCACGATAGGTTTAATCTAACATGTGTTACAGTTGTTGATGTCCTAAAAGAAGCAAATTCCTTCTTTACCGAAACGGAAAAAGCATTGAAAATTTTTATCGCTTCACCATGCACGACCTATAAAGCTGGCCGCAAGTTGAGACGCAGGTTGTGAAGTGACGCATGGTGAGTCACGGTGAGAAAAAACTGCGGGTGGGTGGACCCCCGCAAGTTGAAACGCAGTTTGAGCCTACAGTTCTTAGATGACGTGTCTCTTGCTTTTCGATTTTCAAATGGATTTGGTTTATGAACTTTCAATTGATATCAGCTCCGAATCTGAGTCAGAAAATGATGAGGAAGTTGAATCGATTATTTCTGCTAGCTTCATATCGCTTTCCTTTGCCACTTCCTCCCATATTGAACTTTTCAATTATGTTCGCAAATAGTTCTCATGGCTAGTGTCGTACAAAACGCGATCATTTCTAACTGTCTCTATTAATTTTTCCTCCATTTCACTTGACACGCCGTGACTCACTGAAGAAATCTGCGGAAGGAGGACTGCGTAACGCAGGGTCACGGACCGTGAAAACTGCGTCACGTCACCCTGCGTCGGAACTTGCGGTGTTCCTATCATTTGTATGGTTGGCAGAAATTCAACGTGACTCACCATGCGTCACCTCACGGACCTGCGTCTCAACTTGCGGCCGGTCATACAGTAGAGCGATCCTTCGGCAGCCTTAGAAGATTGAAAACATGGCTAAAAAGCACCATGGCACACAGAGCTATAATGAATAAAAACCTAAATAATTTTAATGATAAAGTGGTTGAAAGTTTTGCAAAAAATCCCCGAAGGTTATGTTTGAATTATGTATTATTTTTGTTAAAATAAATAATTATTACTGTGTTTGAAAGTTTGATTCAGTTATTGTGATGTCAAGGGCTTGCGAAGTTTCATACATTGATATCAGAACCATTCTTATTAAAATCGTCATCGAGGCAAAGACTTCCAAAATGTAACGCTTCATGCTTTCGACTGTATCGGGCGTTCATATTTTTTATCCTCCATAATATTGCCCCATTGCCCCCCCCTTAGTCATAAGCTGGGGCCGCCCTTGCCTGTATCTATGTACATTTCAAAGTGTTTCAATTCAGCGATTCATGCTATCAGTCAACACGATCAGTCGAAAGATAAAACGTACACGTTTTTAAAACAATTCGAAAAAGTCGACGCCCAAAGTGGAAGGAATTTCAATACATTAGAAGCGATGACACATTTGCATCTAACTAATGAATATCTTATCTCATTAGCTTGTATATCTGAGCAGTTACTAATTAGATCAAATTCAGAACAAGATATCAGAAGAAAATAATCGATACCTCAGTAGGTGCTACTAGTATGTCCATTTATCGCAGACTCAATGAATTCCATCCGACCCAAGATTCAGTTTCGTCCAGAAGACTAATTAAGCCGTTCAGAGCATCAAGCGCGTTACCCGAACCTTAGATTCATCGCTCGTAACCAAAAACGCATGTCGAACAGAACTAGAAGAAGAAGAAGAGCACGGCACAATCGGCGCGGATGAAAGAACGATCACGGAGGGCCTGCCGCCGATTTGCATAATGACGCATAACCGATCATCCAGTGGGCTGTGATTTGTACGCCGCCTTGATGCGATTACCCGCTTCGCTCCTGTCATCCGTCGGTCCGTCCGCACAAACTGGCAAACTGGTCCAGTGTTGCCGTTTCGATCTTCCTCTAAAGTCCGATGAGCAGAGAGAAATTACCCGCCATCACCACTGGATGCAAAAACGCTCCCTGCTTTCTGATACTGCAGTTCAGTATTTTCATGTTCATTGGTTATAATGTTTTCATGTCAGTTGCATTCATTTGGACGGTTTGGCGATACTTGCAACATGGCTACCGAGTTTTGGAGCAGAACTCTCTCTTTATACAGCTCATTTTCTATTTCAAATTGTTTTCGAATATATTCAACACTTGTACGAATGCCACATGAATTATTCAATCGATATTTCCAATTTCATTTATGATTTTCCGACATTCAACTTGGAAAATCCAACTTACGTTATAGAAAGTGAGGTTAAGATTTTTCCCTCCTGTCCACGGAAGCCAAGTTCAAAGATCGCAATACACTATACACTCGTCACATGTTCATCATTCATTCTATATCACAGTCACAGAACACCTAATTTTCATGAATGTCATAAATGTCATTACTGTAATCTGTGAATCATTAAAAGTAGTGTCTCTTCTGAAAACCCCCCATAAGGATAAATACTCGCAAAACGGCAACTCTGGACTGGGCAAAGGCTGAGAATGGCATGCGTATTTTCCCTACACTTGTGATCGGTTTGTTCGTTTATGTTTGTAACCACGATTGTACTTGATTGTAACCATGATTGTATTTGAACTTTTTGAGAGCAGTGCCTCCAAAAATGGCATTTTTGCAGGCCTGCAAAATGGCTTGCAAAAATGGATCTAAATGGATTGTTCTTTCGGTAGTGAATTGGTGGTAGGTTGTTGATATGAACGGAAAAACGGAAAAACAGATTTTAAACTCAATTCAACTGGATCTATATTATACACCCGAAAGGACCAACGTAATGAAATGTCCAACGAGAACGAATTATGCTTTAATTTTTAAGTACATACACTGCACTTTCCCACTCTATACCTACACAAAACGAAAATGAAAATATACAAGCGGTCTATTGACTCAAAGTTACTATAAACATTATAAATACACTGCAATAAACCTTATGACTCATTAACAAAATACATAAACCTTGCTGGCGGTCTGTTTCGGTCTTTCAAAATTTTTATATAAAGGACTTAACCAAATGACAGTTTCAGAGCTGAAGAGCCACACACAGAAATAATGCGACAAACCATAGCATCAAAGTTTGGCCAGCATAATCTCATGCCGCACACGGTCAAAGGCCTTAGAAATATCAAGCGCAACAGTATAAGAGAATAAGAGTAGAAGTTATCAGTCCAGTGCTGGAATTTTTAGTCATGAAGAAAAGCCTCTTATAGTTCACCGAACCAAAAAACTCCCCCAAAGTCGACCAATAAATAATTTCAGAATTAGTCAGTCATCTGTTCAGAATGATCATGTTTATCAATAGGAATCGCACGTTGAAAGGCAAGACCTCGTTAATCCTTAGCTCGCACAAGTTTCGACTTCTGAGGGTTGTCGTTCATAGGGGTGCGACAGCTGGTTAACGGAAAAACAAATTTTAAACAGACGTGATTTCAGATCTGTTGTTACATTAAACGATGTCCCAACAACCAACATCCAATAGGATGAGCATCTCACCATCACGGATTCCTAATTAGCAGAAACTCCTCAACATCCTCTCATAAATACATAAAATTATGACCGTCAGTCCTTACCTATTGTGATGACGGGCCCAAAGACGTTAACGTCATCCAGCAAAGAACAGTTCCATCGCCTATTGTGGAACTGGTATTTACATTCGGAGAGGGCCTGATTAGCTCCCAAGGCTACAGCGTTCATGTGGTCCATGTAGAGCTGGCAAAGCCTCTTTTGGCCAGGACTGAGCCCTGGAAGGGCTTTGCACGACGGGATCCCTTGGTCGTTCTGCATCTTGTCATCAAATAGCATTCCCATTCGTCTGTAACAAAGAAACTAATTACCGTTGAAGCTTGAGCTCAGGTGACAGTGGTGGAAAATGGTTTCAAATTCAAGTTGGCTTATCTTTGATGGGCGATGGAATTATGAAACAAGATGAAGTTCATTTTTGTGAATTGTATGTTTTCAAACTTTTTCCACCCCATGAATGTACTGAAAGAAGAGGACCTTTGGATTGTCCAGCTAGTTTGCCTAATATGACACCTTCAGATTCTTCTGAGGTTCATTGAAATAAATCAAATTCACCTTGTTCCAACTTGTTCATTATCTGAGTACTATGAAATTGACTAAAAAAAGTTAGAGTATAGTATATATTGGAGATTGTATATGGTGTAGTAGTCACTGTTGATCACTACAACAACTTTATTGAAATGATTGACTTCCTAATAGATACCTTTGTTCACTTTTTGTTGATTTCGCCTGAAAAAGTAAGAAATAAAATACCCTAATTTTCATTCAATAATAATGACGTTTGTTTTAAAAAATATATGATATCTCGCAGTGTCAATTTACTGAAGATTAAGAGTGTCAGGAAAGAGGCCCTAAAAATTAATCACCCTCTTGCACCATAAAACAATTGTTCAAAGACAAAGGTGTGTATTTGCTGACAAACATTAATCAAAGAGTTTGAAGTTTATCATAAGGATCGTAAATGCATAATTGAATTCATTTGTTTGATTACCCTAGAGAGTGACATTTTTACCCAGTGAACACAACAACTGAAGCACTGACTAGAGTGAAACTAAATTTTATAATTGATATTCGGAAAAATTAATCATAAAAGTAACTTCTTGCCAAACGATATCAAATACTAGTAATATATATCACAAATTCAACACTACCAAGTACCATAAAAGATCTAACCTCAATTCATTCAAAATAAAATCCAATTCAGATTCAGATTTGCCCGGACTAACAAACCGTAAATTACAAATAACATTAATTCAGTTAATATCAGCAGGTGTGGTTTTCATGGCTCTCGAAAACTTCATGATTCCATTCCTAATTATACTAGAACGGAATGAAAAGTGAAATAAATTAGTCGACTGATAGATAATAACTCAAAATTGTTCGACAGCTAATATTGTTCATTTGTAGGTTAAGTGTTCTTTTGTTTGTTGTTCCTCCATAATCTCAGAGTTCGTGTCAGAAGTGATTTATTATTGGTTTATCATGTCGTGACTTGTCAGTGAGTTTCACTGTGAAAATTAAGCATGAGATTAAAGTGAACATCTTTCCACTCATCTATAGGTGAAACTCATTTCTTGTACTTGAACTATCCTTAATCTTCTTTTTTATTCTGTGAAAAATATACCCCTTCCTATAGCTGGGATTAAATCAAATAAGCGGATGAATGTCATTGCGTATTGTCATCGATGACACGAGTAGATTAAACTCATTCCTGATATACATATAGTCGTGATTTTATGAAAGGAGTGCTTTATTAGAACATAATTGACAGGACCATTTACTACAGCAAATTTTTGCAATCCACCGATACAGGCAAACTCAAAAATGTACATTTCTCTGTGCTTCAAAATAATAAGCTAGGCACAAATTTAGTTGCTTTCAATACTCCTAGAATATAATGTAGATTAAAGAGGAAAAATCTTGAATACGGTATTTTCTAAAGGTCAATCTCTTTACAAAATTTGTTTTTCTATCAAATTACATATGTATTAAATGAAGTTTCTTTAGTTACTTTCAAATTTGAAATCGGAATGATTATATTAGTTGTGTCATTTGATATGTGAAGTTATCATGGAGTCCTTCGAGTTATAGTCGAAGTAAACGATATTGTGCACTCTTAAAGTAAGCGGCACTCTCAAAGGCCGAAAAAACCAATACATAGAAATAAACCGGCTGCGAACTAGTCCGCGTGGACTGTAGATTTGGCGGTTCGTATTGGATGATTTTTACTAGTCGAGTTTTATGATTAGCTGAAGAGTCATAAAATAATTTAGAAGTCATGTTACGGTGACAAATAGAAGTTGGGGAATGCGGGGATGGTTTTCGCCGTCGTGTTCAGTTCAGGAACTGATCGCGATTTGAGTGTTGAAATTCGATATTGGTGCAGTTATAATTACTTGAAATTTTCGTTATCTGTTTAAAATGTGGCGGCCTTGGACAAATAGTAATAGAAATAACGAGTGTGATAACAACGCATACTTTTTCCAGTGTAGTGATTCCAATAGTGATGGTGAACAATGCGAAAAAGAGATACCAGTGAATAAGTATCGGATGCATTTGAATATTGAAACACAGAGAGTATGTTTCAATGTATATAAGAATCTACATCTCAAGTTTGGTTTCGAGGGAAAAAAACTATTACAAGCAACATCAGATTTGACCAAAATTCCTTTCCCAACTGTACGTAAAATAGTCAAAAACAAACCTTATGAACGCAAGACGGATGTGATACAGGTTTACCAAAGCCTTTAGATGTTCATCTGATAAAATCATGAAAAAAACAGTATACGACTGTTACAAAAGCAATGATATTCCTACAACTAAAATCAGAAGGAAGAATTTGAATACTTCCGGCCTTAACGTGAGCTGCTGTGACAAAACTCTTTAGAATTGGATAGAGAAACTAGGATTTATATTCAAAATAATAACCAAACGTCAAGCAGTTATAAGAAGCAGAAGAATAGTGGAATTGCGTAACAAATACTTAGAACAAATAACTAAATATAGACAAGAACAACGGCAAATTTTCTAGTTGGACGAAACTTGGTATGACACTCACGACACAGTCACGAAAGGGTGGACTGATGGTTCGAGACTGTGTACGCCTAACATGCCTGCAAACAAACAATCGCGACAAATTTTTCTGCATTGCGGAAGAACTAAAGGAGTTCCGAATTCTTTGAAATTATGTGGAAAAAAGCTTGAGAACTGCAATGTTGACCATCATAAGAACATGGAAGCTAATATTCTCGAGGAATGGTTTGAAAACACTTCGATCCCAAATTAGGATGCGAAAAGTGTAATAGTTCTTGACAACGCTTCCTATCATTCGCGACAGCTCATCAAAGTACCAAATAAAAATTGTAGCAAAGATTTAATACAAAGTTTTTTAATGGAGAACAATTTTTATTTTGAAAATTCACATATAGCTTCAAAAACACTTCACTAACTTTCTTCGAAAGCTTCTGATAATTCCTTTTCCATATTATTTGTTTCACTATCACTGTCGTCATTCAAAACAAAAAAGAATTCATTCCCACCATTAATATGGAAGTGTCCAATCTCCATATAGTCTTTTTCAACTAAATTTACTTTTTTAATCCTTTTCTGACAGTCTTTTTCGGTTATATTAGATACTTCTTCTTCAATACGCTCTATAACCTTTTTTTCAAATTTTGGAAGATTATGTTTACGCCTGATTTTCCAAATTCCAAATTTGGGATCAATATGTTTTCAAACCATTCCCCGAAAATATTAGCTTCCATGTTCTTATGAGAATCAACATCGCAGTCCTTTACTTCTTCCGCAATGCACGATGATTAGTCGCGATCCATTGTTTGCAGGCATGTTAGGCGTACACATTCTCGAACCATCGTCAGTCCACCGTTTCGTAACTGTGTCGTGAGTATCATACCAAGTTTCGTCCAAATAGAAAATTTACCGTTGTTGTGCTTTCCATAACTGCTTGACGTTTGTTTATTATTTTAAATCTAAATCCTAGTTTAATATGAAGTTTCTTTAGTTACTGTCAAATTCGAAATCGGAATGATTATATTAGTTGTGTCATTTGATATGTGAAGTTATCATGGAGTCCTTCGAGTTATAGTCGAAGTAAACAATATTGTGTACTCTTAAAGTAAGCGGCACTCTCAAAGGCCAAAAAAACCAATACATAGAAATAAACCGGCTGCGAGCTAGTCCACGTGGACTGTAGACTTGGCGGTTAGTATTGGATAATTTCTACTACTCGAGTTTTATGATTGGCTGAGGAGTCATAAAATAATTTAGAAGTCATGTTACGGTGACAAATAGAAATTGGGGAATGCAGGGATGGTTATCGCCGTCGTGTTCAGTTCAGGAACTGATCGCGATTTGAGTGTTGAATTGCGTAACAAATACTAAGAACAAATAACTAAATATAGACAAGAACAACGGCAAATTTTCTAGTTGGACGAAACTTGGTATGACACTCACGACACAGTCACGAAAGGGTGCACTGATGGTTCGAGAATGTGTACGCCTAACATGCCTGCAAACAAACAATCGCGACTAATTTTTCTGCATTGCGGAAGAAGTAAAGGAGTTCCAAATTCTTTGAAATTATGTGGAAAAAAGTTTGAGAACTGCAATGTTGACCATCATAAGAACATGGAAGCTAATATTCTCGAGGAATGGTTTGAAAACACTTCGATCCCAAATTCGGATGCGAAAAGTGTAATAGTTCTTTACAACGCTTCCTATCATTCGCGACAGCTCATCAAAGTACCGAATAAAAATTGTAGCAAAGATTTAATACAAAGTTTTTTAATGGAGAACAATTTTTATTTTGAAATTAAAAAATATCCCTATATACAATGTGATCAGTAAAATCTACATCGTATCTATTATCTTTATCAATAGCCCACATCGGAATTCAACTTTGTAATTCATTTCGACTCCAGTTGAAAATGACCAGAAAATGATAGTCACCTGATTCGTTTCAACTGTCAATTTCCATAAGTTCAGTTCAGAAAATTTGGGAAAATTACAAAAAAAGGTTTTTCCGAATAAAGTTTCTCTAAATACAATTTTTATTTCAGCTGCATGAGATGATTTCATTTTTTTATTATATTTTGTACTACTTTTTGTACCATTGTGCCTCTATTGCAAAATAAGTAACAATCATCTACACCTATAAATGAAAAAGCCACTTAACACTCATTCATTTCTGTTTCTTCGTACTGGTGAATCCTAGAAAGCTAAAATTTGGTATATCTTATATGTATAGGTGCTTGTTAGGTCTAAGATGCACAA